TATATCTTGTTATATTATTATACATTATTTTTTTAATATTTATATTATTTTTATTGATATATGAAGTGAAATACTGAAATTTCGTACATTGGCATGCTTGTGTTTTTGTGGATAGAGATGAATATTAAAGTATTATGTAGATCCGTTTTTTTAGATTTATATTATGTAATATTTTAGCGGGAGCTGTTTGACATTAATTGTGGAGTGTGGTGATAAAGTACAATGTGTTTTTTAATAAAGTGCAAAGTGTTGTTTTATAAAGTGTAACGTTCCGCTATATAAAGTGCACTAATTTTTACCTTCCTATATACTACGTGTATTCGAAAACTAGTTTTCATATATATAATTGTACATCAAACTAATCTAAATAATTAAAATATATTTTATTTATTATTTTTATTATATAAATATTTATTCTTATTTAATAACTTATTTATTATTTAATATATATGTATAACAAAATATATAAAAAATAATTTTTTATTAACTTTCAATAATTACATATTTGACACATGGGGTTAAATTGAAATATAATTAAAAATATCAAAATTGCAAATAAGCCCCTAAGCTTGAATCTAATTCTCAACAAATATGCCCAAATCCACATAACAATTTCATATCTCAAATTGCCGGATCATTTTCCGACCAGATCTTCCATTTCCGCCGCCGTTCTGCCCGCTGCAATTCCGGCGAAAAACGGTGTCGCCACGGCCGTGCAGGATCTACCGGACGTGGCTGTGGGGAAGGCGGAGACGGTCGCCGGCTTATCATCCTCGTCAAACAGTGGCGGGCAGAGAGACTATTGCCACGGCAAGGCAAGCAGCGGCTATTGGCGGTGGGATCAGGCGGTGGTTGTGGGCGTCGTGTTCGTTGGTGTAAGTTGCCGATTGGAAGCGACGGGCGGTTGCTAAGGGCTGAGGCGGACTCTGTGACGGGACGGCGGCCGGCGGGTTGTGCTGTGAACGCGGGTTGCAGTGGCGCACTTTGGGTGGCCAGTGGTTGGCGTGAACCCGGTGAGTGAGCCTGTTTTTTGTCCCGTGAGGTGTGTGTGTGTGAGAGAGAGAGAGAGAGACAGAAAGTGAGCGAGGGGTGGGGTGGGCAGGGTTGTTGCAGCATTTTTAATTTGTGGTGGGGTCTAATTTTATTGATGTTGTGTGGAAAATTACTACATTATCCTTAATGAGGATATAATTTTGACTTTTTTTTAGCCATTAGATCATCCGACCTAATGACTACGATTTATTCTCATTTCTTCCACTAAGCATCATTCTCATGTGAACCCAAACCTATATATATATATATATATATATATAGAGAGAGAGAGAGAGAGAGAGAGAAGGGATCATACGATAATGGTTGATAATGAAAGAAATAAGAATGATTGTGAACCATTAGATCCAACATATTAGTGGTCATGATAAAGTAATATTAGTAAGTAAAGTCAAACTCATTAAGGGTAATTTAGTTATTTGACATTCATTAAGGGTACTATAGTCATTTTAAATAACACACTTACCCTACCTACTTTTATCTCTCTCACATAAATTCACACACACACACACAATTTAGATTTTTCTACAAAACACACACACACACACACAGTAACTCACACGCCTCCAACATTGATCTCCTCCCGTCGCCCACTCTCCGCCTCCACCACGGCCGCCGCTGCCGTAGACAGCAGCAGTCCAACATCGAGATCCTCGTTAATTGTTTTGCGAGCTCCGCTGACAAGGTCGCCCATCGTCGGCCCCGCCACTGTTATCGGCCCCGACGTCCGTCGCACCTCAAACTTCCATCGCCGCTCGACGCGCCACAGATTGGTATACCCACTCGAAATATCTCCGACGACCGTCCAGATCAAGTTATCTGTCACCATCACCCACCGCACTTCAGCCCACCCCCGCCGTTCGTCGTGCCACAGAAGACGTCCAGAACAATATAATCTCCGGTGATTTGTGACGATTTAGAGGATGGACTTTGAGAACGCCGCCATCCAGAGGAGAATCGATTTGTGGGCTGAGATTTTCTGATTTGCAGATTGATTTTTGGATTGTGGGGATTTAGTTGGAGAATTTGATATGTTTAAGTGGTCAAATTGCAATTTTTTTAAGTTTTAATGTATTTCAATTTGGTACATGTGGCAAATTGGTGATTTAATAAAAGTTCTATGGGCTGAATGAAAATTGTATTATTTCTAATATATTACGATTTGGTTCACGGGTCATATTCGTAAGTAATCAAAATATAATTAGTATTTTAATACTTTTATATTTTCATTGTTGAAACTAACTATATTTTTATAGAAAAATGAAAATAACAATAATATGTTTATATAATTTGTACATTTGGTTAGTTTGACTATTTAATTAATAAAAATAAAAAATTAACATCGAATCGAATTAAAGTATTTTTAAAAGTAAGAAAAATAAAAATAGTCGAACTGAAAATTTTAGTTATGTTGTTTTCATTCGATATTGTGCAATATATCAGTCATTAATGTGCAACTTGTATAACCATAATGTGCACTCGTAAGACATAAAATATATATATATATATATATATATATATATAAATTTTTATATAGATCGATAATTTCAGTTCTATTGATTATTTTTAGAAAATAAATCCAACATTGAACTGAAATAAGTGTGGTTTTAAAAATAAAAATAATTTATCGAACCAAAATATAAAATTTTGAATCGAAAACTCTAATTCGGTCAGTTTTGCTTTCGCTATCTATTGTGCAATCTGCTAGTCGCCCCGATAAAGTGCAGCGTCTTACTTTAAAAAGTGCAACGTGTTGTTTTATAGAGTGCAATGTGCCGATTTATAAAGTGCACTATCAAAATTTTAGTATGTTAGCATGCTTGTGTTTTTTTGTGGACATATGATATGATGGATGCTAAAATATATAAATCTCCATTTTTTAGATTTATATTGTGTTGTATTTTGGTGAAGCTATTGTCCATTTTTTTAGATTTATGTTGCATGATATTCTGGAGGTAGCTATCGAAATTAATTGTGGAGTGTGATAATAAAGTGCACTGTATTATTTTATAAAGTGCAACATGTTGTGTATTATTTTCTCTCTCTTGAGCTCGTATTTTCCAAAAACTCCCAATCCCTAAATTTCCCAAACTCAATTTCTATAGCCTTCCCCGACGAGACTGAACGAGCGCTCGGTGGCGGCACCACTGGGTCACGCGGCCCGTTTGTCGAGAGTTCGCCGGTTTTGAGGGGGGCTTCTTCGCCGGGGAGATGGTAAATCCCGAGTCCCTGTGTCGCCGTTCATGGTGCTGGGACGGCTTCGGGCGGCCGATTCTCCTCCGGCATCTTCGCTGCGGCGGTCCTCAGGCGTTCGATTGGCGAGGGTTGTGACCCCAATTTCCTGTCCTAGGAATTGGGGTGGAGAAGGTGCTCCGAACCTTTTGGTTCTCCTCGACTCTGGTGCGGGGTTTTGGAGTTGGCCGTCGATTGGCCGGGCTGGGCTGTTGTCCTCGACGCCCGGGTGGTTGTGGTCGGCTGGAGGGTTCGGGTTATTGGCTCCGGGCTCCAGTGGGGTCGTTCGGCTGGATGAGGTTCGAACCCCCCGATTCTCTTCTCTTTTGGTGTGCTAGAAGGGGATGCCCGGTGTTCTCGGATTTGGGGCAGTGGTGATGGTCGGATTCGGGGCGGTGGGTTGTGCGCTGGTTTCGAGATTCGGGACTCGTCCTTTGCTAGGCATTTAGGCAGTGGCGGGATTGGCGTTTTGGATTTCGGATCTTGCAGTGGGTTGGTTTGTCCTTATTTTGCTGGTGCTTTGTGCTGGTATCGGTTACTCTGTTGGGGAAGGGCTGCGCTTGTTCGTTTAGTCTTATTACTATAGTTCTTATTGTTGTGTTTGTTATCTTTTAGGACTTGTGTTTTTTGTCTGGGCCGTTGGCCTCTGTGAACTCGAGTGTCACCTTATTATCCTGTTGGGATCCGACACTCGGGTATTACTCTGTTGGGGTCTTTTTAGTTTAGTTGTTGTTAGTTGTTTTAGTTGGTTAGTTTTAGTTGCGAGCTTTATTCTAGCGTTGCTAGTCGGGACTCTAGGCGGTCTTCTGACCTGTCCTCCCACTTTTTCAGCTGTTGGCTGCTGTGTATTCAGTCGTTGGCTGCTGTGTATTCGCACATTTGTGCATTTTGATTTATAATATAATCTGTCNAAGTGTGGGTGTTGTTATATAAAATGCAATACTTTATATAATCTCATATAAATTATGTGTTTGAAAACTAGTTTTAGTAAATATAATTGTACATCGAATTAACCCAAGTAATTTAAAATATTTTATTATTTATTATTATAAAAGTATATTTAGTATTTTTGATATATTTTTATCTTGAAAACAATATCAACTTTAATTGTGGAGTGTGATGATAAAGTGCACCGTGTTGTTTTATAAAGTGCAACATGTTATGTTATAAAGTGTAACGTGGTGTTTTATAAAGTGCGCGTGCTGTTATATAAAATACAATACTTTTGTACATCGAGTTAACCGAAATAATTTAAAATATTTTATTATTTATTATTATAGAAGTATATTTAGTATTTTTAATATACTTTTATATTATTTTTTGGTAAATTTAGTGATTACTAGACCCCGAATCCTTCCGAAATTTCCCATGTTATATTACATTATTTAACTAATTGCTAACTTAGTAACTTCCAAATGATATTGATTAAAATATATATATATATATCGGTCTTTAAAGGCAACACACTTTTTCTCATATCAAATTTGGCTGAATTAATTATATATACATATAATCCATAAAATAATATAATTTATATTTGTATAAAAATGTATACATAAAAATTGTGAATTTTGCAATGAGGTCCCTAGAAATTGTCCATTTTTCAAAATCAAACCCACTACAAATCCAATTCCGCCTGCGATGAGCTTCAAATCCATGGGGAAACTCGAATTTGGGAAGGGACATCACCTTCCTGTTCTTCGACATTCTCGAACCCGTCAGACCTCACGCTTCACATTTATGGCGGCACCGTCAAAATCATTGCTGCGTCTGTAGGAGGATGTTTTACGGCGGTGTTCCGCGACTGCGACGGCCGGAGGAAGGTTGCAGAGAAGGAAAGCGCTTGTTTCGGGCTGTAGGTCGTAGAAATTTTTCGGTGTGAGGACACGGTCTCGTGGAGAGCTTCTCGCCGGATTCATTATCAGATCGAGAAATTCACGGTGGAGAGCTTCTTGATTATGCCGATCTAATTTCTCTAGTCTCGTGGCATCGGCTAGGATGGCAGCGACAGCGGTGGCGGTCGGGCCGATTCGAGCAGTCGCCGGCGACCAGTTGCGACCCGGTGAGGGCAATCTGTGTGGTGCAGTGTGTGCGTTTGTGTGAGAGAGAGAGAGGCGGAGAGGGGACCAGAGTCGGCGAGCAGGAAATCAGTTTCCGGCGGTTGAAGGCTGCGGACGACCGATGACAGGTGACGGTGGAGCTGTTTCCGGCGGGTGAATTAGTGCTGCATTGCGTGTGTGCTAGTGTGTGCGTGTGTGTGTGTGTGTGTGAGAGAGAGAGAGAGAGAGAGAGTAGGTGACAGCCGTATAAGGTGATTTGGGGTGGGGCCCAGTGTTGTTGATGTTTGATGTATGTGTAAATGTCTATAATACCCTTAATGAGTGTAAAACATGCTATTTTTTTTAGCCACTAGATCATTCAATCAATAGTTATGATGTATTCTTATTTCTTTCACTGAGACTCATTCTCGCTGGAGCGCGACCCTATGCATATATATATATATATATATATATATATATAAAGAAAATACTATAAAATTGTATAGAAATATAAAAAATATTTACAATATATTACTAATTAAAACTTATTTCCTATGCTATTTTAATAATATTATTTATTTATTGAAAAATATACTAACAATCCTTATATTTTAAATTTATAGATAAACCTTTAAAAATATTTGTAATGATTTACATTTTCGGTCTCTTAATTGTAAATCGATTTAGTGATTTATAAAATCCAATAT